TCCACTCGCCTCAGCCTCCCAAAGGCGCGAGATTACAGGCTGAGCCACCGAGCCCGGCTAAAATTCATATATTAAGGGACTTAAAGTCACACAATGTAAGAATCTTATTTGAATTCAGATTCAAGAAAATAAAATTTTAAAAGTCATTTGTAAGACAATTGATCATCTGAACACTGATGTTTATTTATTTATTTATTTATTTTTGAGTTGGAGTCTCACTCTGTCGCCCAGGCTGGAGTGTAGTAGCATGCTCCTGGCCACCGCAGCCTCGACCTGCTGGGCTCAGGTGATCTTTCCGCCTCAGCCTTCCAAGTAGCTGGAACTACAGTCGTGCACCACCATGCCTGGCTAATTTTTTGATTTACTAAAGAGATGAAGTCTCGCCAAGCTGCCCAGGCTGGTCTTGAACCTGTGGGCTTAGGCAATCCTCTCACCTCAGTCTCCCATAGTGAGCCACCGCACCCAGCCTGAACATTAATATTTAAAAACACTAATTACTGTTAATTTTTTATTTTTTAATTTTTTTACTGTTAAATTTTTAGTTGTGCTAACAATATCGTGGGCTAAAAAAATCCTTTTCTTTTAGAGACACTTACCAAAATATTCATAAATGTAATAATGTGATATCTAGGGTTTGCATCAAAGTAATTCCGAAGGAGAATATAGGTTGGCATGTAAATTAAATAAGATAATTATTGAAGCTGCAGGATGAATATATATGGGTTCATTGCATTATTTTGTCAACTTTTGTACTGTTTCAATAAAACATTATCTTAAAAAAAGCCAGGCTTTGTGGCTCACACCTGTAATCCCAGCACTTTGGGAGGCAGAGTTGAGAGAACGACCTGAGTCCAGGGGTTCAAGACCAGCCTGGGCAACTTGGCGAGACTCTGTCTCTACAATAAATCAAAAATGAGCCAGGCATGTTGGCGTGCGTCTGTAGTTCCAACTATTTGGAAAGCTGAGGCAGAAGGATCACCTGAGCCCAGCAAGTGGAGACTGCAGTCGCCATCAGTGTGCCACTGCGCTCCAGCCTGGATGACAGAGTGAGATTCTAACTTAAAAAAAAGAAAAAAGAAAATGACACATGGATTTAGTATTCTGATTCATTCATTCAATAAATATTTATGATCCATTTTATAATACAACTCTAAAATATTACCCTATCTTACCCACAGAAATTCATTTTCTTTCAACTTTTGTATTTCCAGATTACAGATTTCTTTTTTTTTTTTTTTTTTTTTTGAGTTGGAGTCTCACTCTGTCACCCAGACTGGAGTGCAGTGTCCGCTCTGGGCCATCACAGCCTCGACCTGCTGGGCTCCGGTGATCCTTCTGCCTCAGTCTTCCAAATAGCTGGAACTACAGGGGTGCGCTCCCACGCCTGGCTAATTTTTTTTTTTTTTTTTTTTTGAGTTGGAGTCTCACTCTGTCGCCCAGACTGGAGTGCAGCGGCCGCTCCCGGCCACCGCAGCCTAGACCTGCTGGGCTCCGGCAATCCTTCTGCCTCAGCCTTCCGAGTAGCCGGAACTACGCGCACTACCATGCCCGGTTAATTTTTTGATTTATTGTAGAGATGAGGTCTCGCCAAGTTGCCCAGGCGGGTCACGAAACCGCGGGCTCATGCAATCTAATTTTTTGATTTATTGTAGAGATGAGGTCTCACCAAGTTGCCCAGGCGGGACTTGAACCCATGGGCTCAGACAATCTACTCACCTCAGCCTCCCAAAGTGCGGGATTACAGGCTGAGCCACCAAGCCCGGCCCAGATTACGCTTTCAAAGTCTTAAAAGAAAAATGATAAAAACTGATAGAATTCTATCCTGACTTAGCTATATGAGAAGTTAGCTATAACTTCTTTCTGAATTAGACTCAATTTTGAGAATGACCATCAAATCCAGCCCACAATGGAAAATATAACTTTAGTTCAGTGATTCACACTCATCATTTTATTTAGACAAAGCATGAAAAAAGACTTACCTGTTTTATGTGTGGATTCATGGCCATTTCGGTCACATTTTTCTTGGTCTCACAGAAAATAATAGCCCTCCCTTCAGAGCCACTGTAGACTTGAAGTACATCTCCAATAACTGCTGGCCTCTGAGACCAATGACACTGGATGGCCAAATGCTTTGAAGAAAGAAAATATCAAGTATCTGTTTCATTAAAATTATTAAAACGATTTTTCTTGCACAGTTATTCTATCTGGTCAAGAGTTAGCCTTCCTGGGAGACTGTAAGACAAAGACTATCCTCAACCCAATATAAAAATGATATACAAATGGCCATTGATAGGTGAAAAAATAAACATAGTCTATTCAAATAACAGAATACTATTCCTCAATTAAAAGAAAGCAACTACTGATACATGAAAAACATAGATGAATCTCAAAAAATATGTCTAGTGAGTAAAGTTTTAACAGATAAAGCACATACAGTATGATTCCATTTGTATGAAATTCTAGAATAGACAAAACCAATCTATAGTGGGGAAAAAATCAGAATAGTGGTTGTCTCTGGATGGGGACACTAACTAGGAGCATTAAGGAATTTTCTGGGATGATGGTAATATTCAGTATTTTGATAAAGGTTTGGATTGCAAACGTATGAACTTTTCAAAACTAGGCAAATGCACACTTGAGATTGTGTATTTCATTGTAAATAAATCTTATATTGTAAAATTATAACTATTTTATGGATGAACTTTGCAAAGTGAAAGAAGACAAAAAAAGAAAACACCACACAGTGCATGGTTACATTTATAGACATGTGTTGCTTTAAAATGGAGATACTTCTGAGAAACATACTGTTAGGCAATTTCATCATATATGAACAACATAGAGTGTCATTACACAAACCCACACGATAGAACCTACTATACACCTGGGTGATGAAGTATGGTCTTTAGTTCCTAGGCTACAAACCTAGACAGCATATTACTGTAATGAATACTGTAGATAACTATAGCACAACATTAAGTATTTGTTTCTAAACTTATCTAAACACAGAAAAGGTATAATAAAAATACGGCAAGAAAGATAAAAAAATGGCTGGGCTCAGTGGCTCAGCCTGTAATCCCGCACCTTTGGGAGGCTGAGGTGAGTGGACTGCCTGAGCCTGCGGGTTCGAGACCTGCCTGGGCAACTTGGTGAGACCTCATCTCTACAATAAATCAAAAATCAGTCGGGAGTGGTAGCGCACGCCTGTAGTTCCAGTTACTTGGAAGGCTGAGGCGAAAGGATCGCCGGAGCCCAGCAGGTCGAGGCTGCGGTGGCCAGGAACGGCCACTGCACTCCAGTCTGGGTGACAGAGTGAGACTCTAACTCAAAAAAAAGAAAAAGAAAGATAAAAAAATGATACATCTGTATAGGACAGCCCAATTATATTCTGATGGGACTACTGTTGTAAATGTGGTCCCTTGTTAACTAAAAGTCATTATGCAGAGCATGACTTGTATGAAATATCCATAACAGGTATATCCATAGAGACAGAAAGCAGATTGGTGGTTGACAGGGCTAAATTAATGATGTTTCCTTTTGGGGTGATGAAAATGTTTTGGAACTAGATAAAGGTAATACACTGTATATGTACCAGGTAACACTGAACTTCATACTTTGCATTCTAGTTAAAGACACATATGCTAAGATACACTATACTAGCTTCTTCAATTTGAAATGAATAAAAAAAAATAAAGTGGATACAGGGATGGTTAGATATGTGATAAAGGAAATATAATAAAATGTTAATGGAGAATATAGATGGTAGGTATATGGGTGGGTGTTCACTGTAAAATTCTTTCACTCCAGCTGTGTGTTTGAAAAGTTTCACTATAAAATGTTGAGAAAAAATCATACTGCACATTTTAAATCTGTGCATTTTATTTTATTTTTTTTTTTGAGTTGGAGTCTCACTCTGTCACCCAGACTGGAGTGCAGTGGCCGCTCCCGGCCACCGCAACCTTGACCTGCTGGGCTCCGGCGATCCTTTTGTCTCTGCCTTCCGAGTAGCCGGAATTACAGGCATGCGCTACCACGCCCGAAT